TTCTGCTGCTTTTAGCTGCTAGTTAGTGTTCTGCTGGTTTTAGCTGTTAGTGTTCTGCTGCTTTTAGCTGCTAGTTAGTGTTCTGCTCCTTGAAAACCTCAGAATCGTTGTCTTCAGCCGCTCTCAGCATCAAGTTGAATGTTTTGCAGAAAATTTTTGTTTGCAATTTTCTGCCACTTAAATAAAAATCAGCTAAAACAACAAACGTCATAGAAGCTTTAATGAGCCGTACTTCTGGTGAACATCTTTCCTGCAGAAACAAAACCCACTCTTCAGCTCTAATTAGACTAAACCACCATTCTTCCTTTTTCAGTCAGTTTCTCTGGATCTAGAAAAATAATGGGACGGCTGGAGACGACGCTCAGGTTCGACTCGAACGTCCAGGAAGTTGTATTTTAAAATCTTTAGCTCTGAAATGTTTGTTGCTTTAATGTCGTTAATTATTGCTTCTCTGGACCTCGTTAAGAAAGAACCGACTGCAGTTTGTGTTTAGAAACAGACTCGTGAAACTCGGATCAGTGGGAGGTTAAAATCCCAAACGACCCGTCTGAAACATCTGCAGCATCTGGACGGTCAGGAAGGATTACACGGTTTTACGTACCGGGGGATTTGGAGCGGTGCCGTCTGTCTCTGGACCGGCTGCGGTGCCGGCGGGGGCTCTTGCTGCGATGGCGTTCTCTGCGAGGCGACGGGCTGTTCAGACCACAGAAAGAACACGTTTACAGTCAGAGTCGCAGGCGGACGCCGCACGGTGGACGCCGCACGGTGGACGCCGCACGGTGGACGCCGCACGTCGCACGGTGGACTTGGACTAACGATCAGTCGTACCTTCGTCTCTTTGGAGATCGGCTCCTCCTACAAAAACAAAAAAAAAAACAAGTTGGCAGAACTAATTCATACGGTGCGTGACGGAAAAGTCGTACTTTTTATCCACAAATAAATCCAAAACAAACCGTCTGGGCGAGCGGCTGCGCCTGTAACGGGGCGACGGGGAGCGGCGAGGCCGGTCGTTGTCACGGTAACTCCGTCGGTGTGGTTCAGGGCTCGGCAGCCTCTCCACCTGCCAGGAAAAACAAAAACGACCAAACTAAACTTTAAACAGACTAAAGTCCCCGTTCGTGCTGAAGAAAAGTTCCCACGTGTTTAAAACAACAACTTTATTTCAGGTCTGGGTTTCAACCACGTCATCAAACTCCTGAGTGATAGTTCTGCACGTCACAATAAAAATATCCATTTATTTATTTATTTATTTGTTTATTTATTATTTAAAAAAAAAAGTTTTGAAGCTTTCAGATTGTCCAGGATGTGAGAGAAACGTGTCTGAAGCTGGTGAACTCTTCCTGATCACCAGCAGGGGGCTCTGTTTGCAAAAAGAAATCGTTCAAACTGCTCTATGAGGTTTGCGGTGACGTTTACCTTTTCTTCTTCATCATCTTCTTCCTCGCTGCTCTCCACTTCATCCAGGTCTTCCTCCAGAGCGCTGATCCGTGGGTCCAACATCTCAGCCTCCTCCAGAACCTGTCTCTTCTGTAGCGCAGAAACAACAGCAGATTAAATCTGACAGCCGTGTCTTTAAGACAAATAACAGCGAAGACCTGAAACTGGCCTCGGCCTTCAGCTCATCTAAGTTTCAGCTCTTTGAGAATCACTGTTGAAAATAAACTGGTTTTTTCCTGACGAACATATGAACCAAAGAATTTACAAACACCTAAAGCGGGTTTGTTGTCGAGCAGATACTGAGAGAAAAAGCGGCTAAAGTAACAAAAAAAACTTGTGAAAGTGTGAAGTACTATCGATGGACATGAAGGGATTAGAGGGAAATCAGCTGCTTAGAAGGAAACGTTTTGGAAACGTGTAATTAGCTCACCTGAAGTCGGGGCAGGATGATGTCACAGACCCGCTCTGCGTGAAGAAGCTCGTCGATTAACTCGTCAACGTGCACCAGCTCAAACTCTGCCACAGAAACATAAAATAAGGTACAGGGGCCCCTCATCGCACATTTATACATGAAAGGAATTTCATTCTGAGCAGAATTTTAATAGTTGGGTCCCCTCCATGAAAAACTAAATAATTTGGAGCCATCAGTTCACGGAGGATTTAATTTGCAGCACCGGGTGGTTTTTAATGCACCTCACCTCCGTTTCTGTTCTGACACTTGACCTTTCTGTAGTCGTTGTACAGCGGCTCCAGGTATTTGTAGCAGTCCACGGCGGTGCCCGTTAACCTCATGTACATCGCTCCCAGCAGACGAACGTACCTGAGGACACAGAGGAGCGTCGTCCCCGCAGTTCAACACAAATTAAAAAACATAAATCTGTCTCTACAGTTTTACTCTGATGATGAAGGAACTCACTAAACAACGTGCAACACCTGCAGCGAAGTCTCAATGTTTGATCCGTTAACGTCTTGAGACAAAAGTCATTCTGTCGAACTTATTTTTCTTAGATTCTACTAAAGAAATGAGGACAGACTGCATGTGTGACAGGAACACAGACAATTTACACTTTATTAGGATGTCAGGATAATTGTTTGCTTTTAAGCTAACCAGGTTGAGCAGGACGGATTCTTTGTTGAAATGTTTCGTCTTTTATCCAAAAGACTTCATCAGCCTGAGGAGCTGCAACAAACTCAAAGGCCCGACACACTCCGTCCGAAGCTGTCGACATGCGGTCACGGGACGTTCGTTTTCACGCACACCTGTCATCGTCCATGAGAAACAGACGCAGAGCTCCTGGGAAACCCCTCCCGCTGCAGTGAACGTCACCACGTGGGTTTCTTCCAGCCAGAGTCTCCACTCCGTCCCTGCAGCCGACGTTTGGACACAAATCTATCGTGAAGAGAGTCCACGCTTTTCAGCAGACAGACTCCTCCATGCACGACGTCTGCACCATCTCCAGCCACGAGTTTTTGGCCACTTGACTAACTTGGTGTGTTACACACATATACATACATATATATATATACATATATATATATATATACTCTTTGTACTTATTTGTTAATTGTTAGGCTTCTTCATCTGGGACCTGAGTCCAAACTTCATACCATAAACATGCAAATGTGAGCTGGTATGAAAATGAAAAAAAAAAACCTTGAAACCAGTTTGCTGTTGACATCCAGAACCAGCTGTTCACATGATAAAGAAGGACCACCAGCCCAACGACTGATCATCAGTGCCCTGATGGCCGCTTGTTATTCAGAGGGCTGAGTGATACTAGCAATCACAGCATTGTAAGAGGGGGACAGTTGAACCCGGAGGCCTCCACCCCTGTTTAACGATGGACGATTTCTTTTCACAAAGATGGCCTCCTTTACTCCTCTCTCAAACCATCGTTCCTCTCTGTCCAGGATGTGAACATCTTCATCCCTGAAAGAGTGACCGCTGGCCTGGAGATGAGTGTAGACCTCAGAGTCCTGGCCTGATGATGTTGATCTTCTGACCAGTGGCTGTTTAGTTTCCCCGATGTAAGACTGATCACCCTCCTGGCACTGAACAGCATACACAACATTGCTCTGTCTGTGCCGGGGGACTGGATCTCGAGCATACAACAGGAAGTTAAAAAATGCATTTTCATGCTTTTAAAATTTACTTAATATAAACTGTACACAACTCAGTACAGTTGAATTTCTTGGCATTTATTTAACTTCTTCAGGTGGATGACAAAGATAAATGCCAAAGTGAGGATGTTTTGTGTTTACCAAAAAAATTAAACGTATTTCTGCTTCTACAAACCTTCAGCTGCATAAATCATCAAAGACTAAACGCTAAACACGATCATGGCAGGACAACAAGAGGTAGAAGTTGGTGTTTGTTTCTCAGACAGAAACTCACTTAAAATCCTCGTTTTTAATGAACTCGACGATGATGTCTTTCTCAGGCTGGATCTGAAGCATCTTCAGCGTCAGGCAGAGGAACGGAGTCGGTTTGATGTTTCCACCGTAAACTCCTCCAACAAACTTCAACTCCATGGCTTTGTCCACCACCAGCTCCGCTGTGGACAAGAGGAACACACGTTCATTTAAAACCATAAGACAAACTGTTGGCAGCGAATCCAAATTATTATTTCAAAAGTCTGTGACCAAACAAGAACAAAAGCAACATATAAAACCAATTAAATGTTTTTATTTTTATGATGAAGTCATCAAATGTGCTAGAGAAAGTCTAACTGGAATTAAAACGTCAAAACTTAGTTTCCACTAATTTCCATAAATAAATGTTATTTAAAACGTGACAGGTTTAGATTAAAGGATAAATGTATTTTTAGGTAACAACAAAAAGGTTCAGTGTCATCTGGACACGTTTCGTCTTTTTATTCAATTACCAGGTAATTTAGAAAATTAAAACAACTTCAAAATGTTGAATTGTTTTTACATTTTAACAACTTTGTGCTCTCATGAATCGTTATAATGAAAAAACAAGTCCTTCATTTCCTGCTTATTTAAATTAGCCACCGTGAAGCTAACATGCTAGCAGGTTCTGACCCGTGAGCCCGAAGCACTCCTCCTTCCAGTATTTGGACTCGTAGATTCGGGTTCGGATGATTTTCTCCACCAGGTACTGCGGGTTGGTTCCGTGGATACTGTTGGCATCTTTAACGGTTCTGTTCGCCATCTGAATGAAACCGAGTTAGCCCGTTAGCATAAACAGAACACCGACGAGCAGGAGGCAAACAGCGGAAATGATCAGTAACGTTTCCGGGTCGACTTCAGAATAAAAGTTTCCTCTGCTCGCTGCCCAGCAGAGGTCACTGTCAGAGTGAAACAGTAATTTACCCAAATAAAGTTGATCTGTACACAACTGTTCTATTTGTGTTGTTTGTGTTGAGCTACTAGTAACAAAACGCTCCGTGTTTTCTTTACAAACTTGTTTGTAACTTGTCCTCAACTTGAATGATGTCGTCAAGACATGGAGCTCAGTGTGTAAAAAGAAAACTAAAACAAGACTAATGCAGCGACTGCATCGCTCCACAGCTGCTCGTTAATGTGCAGAGCTTCTGATATGATGTTTCATATAATGTTAATAATTTTAAATGGACAACCTGCTTTCTAAGGATAAAAGATAAAAGACAGAACTATTTCATTTTGTATGTGAATGTATGTAAGTTGGCAGTAAGATTTAGAAATTTGCACCACCTTCTTTCCTAGAGCAGCAATTTGTCGAGGGGCAGCTCTGGTCCTGAGTGTTGGAGAAAACGTCTGTTTTTTAGAGAGAAGTTGCCACGTTAAAGAGTCTTCTTCAAAGCAGGAGCGAGGATGAACATACTGAAGCCAAACTCTGCTGAAAGTATCTTGTTTTTAAATCAAAAACTATCTTTGAACACACCTTATCCTCTCCCCAGCTTTAATCCCCAGCTGCACGAAGATTTCTTAAATTATTTCTCATTCTTTGTAAATATATATTGTAGTCTTTCGATTAATCTTGCAAAAGCATGTCTCTTCATTATTGTAAAGAATGTAGGAGCAAACTCAGGGATGTAATTATTTCTATACAAAGGCAGGCATAGATCATATGTTTGAGTTGTTTGTGTGTTTACAAATGTTACAAAAAGTACGGGACAGAACTTTGAATCTCAAACTCTTTCATCTTTGAATTTATTTGAACAAAATGTACCAAAACACCATGATTTACTTTAATACGGTATAGATAATAACAATGCTGTTTTTAGGCCATATTTATTTCACCTCAACAATATTTATCTACAATGAGCTCCAAGCTGATATCAATAAAATCAGCACTTTAGAACATAAGTCGACCTCACCTGCTCTATCGCCTGTGTCTCTGTCAACATGTTATGATGACACAATATCATTGTACCATAATTAATTACTAACAATGCTTTTAACAAATAAATCAAAATGTTCCAGATGCACATAGAACTTTTATTCATAGCAGAGTCTCACTCTCTCGTGACTCCTTGTTCTTGCAGCTGCAGTGTTAAATAAATTAAAAAAAAATAATTTGTGACATTTCCAGGTCCGGCTTTAAGATGAAACCGTCTTGAAACTCAAGTGGGGGCTTTGTGATCTCCAAACAGGTGAAGTAGTTCTGTGCAGCTGATTTTTATCATCGTAAATATCGTTTAAAATTAATTAACCAGCCTTTTTGCCGGCTTGTTCACAAACTCGAGAGACACGAGAGTTCTTCAAACCGATGTTTACTGTTGTCTTGTATTAGTCTTCATATTACTTTTCATCACGAGTACACTGTGGAACAGATAACACAGATATTTACAAAATGTTACCTTACTTGTCTTAGCTTACACCAAGATACACTTTACAAAAAACAGAACAAACATACCACTCTGGCCTGCAAGTGGACAAACCAGTAGCCTTGAAAATACTTATTTTTCTTCTTAACTGTTCTTATTCTTAATATAACTGGTATTTGTTTGTTTTTACTGTTGCTTGAACTTGATTCACCTCTTGCCACTGGTTATGAAGAGTCTAAACAGAGAGAATTATATAAAAATACGTTTTACTGTAGAAAATATCTCAGAGCAAGTATTATGGGAAACATCTGATCAATGAATGACATTTAAAAAAGATATGGACTGATCAAAAGACTATATTGTATTTTTTCGCGGTGTTTGTTGTTCTCCTGTCCACTAGGTGGCGGTAGTTGCAACAATAAGCGCGTTAACCAACCGGAAGTTAACGTCAGAAGAACAAGAAGTGAAACATTTCGCGGGAATCGCTGTTCCTCCGTTCTCAAAGTGTCCAAGTTAACTCTCAGTCGAAGCTGAATTAGCAATAATAAAATAAAAAATAAAAATAAAAACGACTCGGATTTTCTTCAGCTTCCATCAGAAGATTATTTCTGTTTTGCTTCCGGTCAGATTTCAGAGAAACGGGATGAAATATTTCACCAGACGGAGATCCAAACGGTTTTACCAGTGGCGAGGAAATCCTCTGAGTTTCAACAGGAAGCTAAAAACTCATGAATATGGGTGAGAATTAACTTTTTTTTACGTTATAAACGTTTAAACTCCCGTTTATAATTTGACACCGAAACTAAACTGAAGAAACTTAAAGTTTTAAACTGATAAATGCGTCACATATGTTTTTAAAATTAATTATTCTAGGTTTTTTAAGGCAAACATGACCTGATCTAATTCTAAAGTTATTTTTGCCTTGTTCCCTCTAACGTCCAATAATTATATAAAATAGCTCTTTACTCACTGAAACTTCAAGGGAATGAAAATGACTGTGTTCCCACAAACAGACTCAATTTAAATGTCAGCACGTGTGTGAGGATAAAATAATAAAAACACTCATTAAACTATTCTAACATTTATTTTCTTTCTGAGACTGAATATTCAAGAAGATTTTCCAGATTAAATCAGAAGTGTCAGTGTAATCTTAGATCCTTGTATACTGTTTCTTTTTAAACTTTATATTTTTGCGTGCCTCTGGGACCCTGAGTGCACAATTTGTTCCACCTCATGTACCACGTGTGATGCGAGCGACAATAAAGAACCTTGAAATATTTACAAATTCATACCTTCTTGATGTTTTTCCCTGAAACTAAATGGGATGTGTTTTAGGTTTGATTAATAAAAGACAGATTTTGAATCGTAAATGACAAATTGATGAAAGGATTTTAACATCTGGGAGAGCTTTTAATTATTGTTATAATTTAAACTAAATAACTAGAAACTGAGGGGTGTGTTTCTGTTTCCAACCTGTGTAATTTGTAGCTTTAATAAAGTGCAATAAATGACTCAAGAACCAGTTTCAGGAGAACTTATAATCAAACAAACATTATGTTTTTGTCTGTGGAAATCATCAAACTTCTGGACAGTGAGTCAGTTCTGAGACAATATTCAGGATAAAGCAACACTTGATCTTGTTATTTTAAAAATAAATTACAAAATTCTCATTTGGTTATAATTCCTAACAGCTGAAATGGATTTAAGTTTTAATCTAAAGGACTAAAGTTCATAAAAAGGTAAATCTGTGTGAAAGACACGTTTATTAAAGCGTTTACAAAGAACTGAGAATAAACACGATGGTTTTAAACTTTACTGAAATGTTCTGATTTTTACACAAATTTCTTTTTATAATAAATCAGAGGTTTAAGAAATAAAATGTATAAATTCACTTCAAACATTTTTGCTCAGATTTGATTCAAACTTGAAGCATTTGTGTCAGGTCTGTGTAATTAAACCTGTTTTAATCCAAATAAACGACTTCTATCCACAGAAGACTTTGAACTGAAACATTTAAAACCATTATCGGTCGCTGTTGTTTTATTGATAAATACCAGCTTTTTCCTTTAAACTCAAAGACTTCTGGTTTGTTCTTTGGGTGTTTCAGCTCCTTGTCCATCAAGGTGGAGGGCCTGCCGAGGACCACCATCATTCAAGTGGGTCAGCACATCCTCATCGAGGGCGACAGTGACGACAACCCGTACGTGGCCAAAGTCGTCCGGCTGTTTGGAGACGGTGAGTTTTAAAGAAACTCAGAGAATCGGATCGGTGGAGGGTACGATGTCAACGCTGACCTGTTCGATCAAACGCTTCAGAAAACTTTGATGGAATAATTTGAAAACAAATAGACAAATCAGTTACAAATCTTAAGTTGTTGGGAGGAAAACGAAGCGCTTCCTTTAAATCAAAGATCTTGGCAACAAAAGCGTCCTGCATGAGTCAACAAAGGGTTAAATCAGAAGTTTATATCAACGCTGCGATGTTGTAAAGTAACTGGAACTGAACTTGAACCCGAGTGACTCTGGTTCAGTTTCAGATGATCCAACTTTTTTCTGATTACATCTGAAAAGACACGAACTCGATCTGGATCGTGTTTTCTCTGATTTGAGAACTTGCTGCTGTTTCAGAGAGTGGGCAGCAGAAGAAGGCCGTGGTTCAGTGGTTCGTTCGGGTTTTTGAAGTTCCTCTGAGCAAACTTAAGCTGCTGGGCAGAAACCCCCACCCCCAGGAGATCTTCTTCTATCAGGGAGGCAACTGTGACGACGAGGTTGACGTGGAGTCGATCCTCAGACCCGTACAGGTGAAGTCAACATCAGTTTTTACCTTTAAAACGTAACTTTTCCTGATGTTGATGTTGAAGCAGCTGATCTGTGAACAGTTTAATAAAATAATAAAGAGTATAAAATAAAATAAAAACGAGAGAGAGATGGTAGGAGGAGATGAAACCAAGACACGGTGAGGTTGCAGATGGGTTGACACCTGAGGCTCCTCCCCTTCCTGTCTGCAGGTGAAACATCTGGATGACGCTGCTCCGTTTCCTGTCTCTGACGATAACGAGACTCTCTTTGTGAAACTGTCCTGGGACTCAAAGACCTTTAAGGTCATGGACTCTGCTCTGGTAGCGTCTCCTGCTCGCCATCTTAACCCCTCCCTCCCCCCGTCCTCCCCCCGCTCCCCACCGACAGCCACTCTGGCCGCCGGGGGTTCGAGTCGACGTGCCCTGCCCACGCCGGATCCCGCCGTGCTGCGCAGAGCCGCGCTGGGGGGGGCGAGACGCAGCAGAGCCACAGCGAGCGCCAGTAAAACCCCCGCCGCCTTGGAGGCCGAGTCGCTTCACTCCGAAACCAAAATGTCTGCATCAAAGTGTCTCAGCGCCAAGAGGAGGGACGCCGCGGCGAGGACGCCGGGTGTCCGCAAGAAGCTGCAGCTCTGCGGTGAGTCTCCGCCAACAACCTGAGGCGCCAAACAGGAAGTGAAAACTAAACTGTCTTCGTTCTGTCAGGTCCAGAGAAGACGCTCACGGTCAGGGAGGACGTCCTGGACGAGGAGCTGGAGGAGCAGGGGGCGCTGGCTGAAAGACTGCCGTCCTCCCCCACTCAGTCCCCCCCCATCACGCACAGACTCACCCCCCTCAGGAGAGCCAGCAGAAGACTTGTCGCTCAGGACGCCAACATCCTGAAACCCTCTGCCGTCCTCGTCCACAAAGTGTCCCAGACCAGCGAGGACTCGAGCAGGTCAGACACCACACACACACACACACACACACACACACACACACACACA